AATAAAGTAGATATAAATATTGTAACTGTAATTCTTGCCTGATAGCTGTTTTGTTATATGTAATTTTACTATGTTGAAGATAAAGCCTTTTTTTTCCATTTAAACAGAAAAGGGGAGGTGATGTGGGATTTACCTCTGTATACTTGAATAATGAATAAATAAACTGATTTGGACCTCTAGCAGGGCAGAACTTAGGTAGGTGGGGAAGATGGAACTGAATTCTGGGAGAAAGAAAGGTGGAGTCAGGGGACGCCATGGAGCTGCCACCACCAGAGATAGACATGCTGAAACTTTGCTGGTAGGTCATGACCTCGTGGTGACACACAGATTAATAGAAATGGGTTAAACTTGTATGTAAGAGTTTGCCTATAAGAAGCTAGAGCTAATGATCCAAGCAGTGATTTAAATAATACAGTTTCTGTGTGATTATTTTGGGTTTAAGCTAGCTGGGCAGCTGGGAAACAACAAGCAGCTGCCTCCCTCCTTGCAACATTAAACCAATGTACGGAGAAGTAGCCCACTATAAAATAGGTATGGTCTTCATTTTCTAGGTCCGAAGACTTCTCTGGAGAGGACCAACAGGAAGCACATTTCACAGACCCATGGTGGCCAGTGCCCACACTGAACGTTCAATGACGTGTTTCTGTCCCTTGTGGATTAATAAGGTGTGCGTTTCTATCTATGTGCACTCTCATCAATGCGATGGTCCTCATCTTGGATCACCTCCGACAATGCTGTTACACACATGGGTAAACACACATAACATACGGCCTTCTGCAATCCCCAAGGGACTAACTCATTACTAAGCTTTAGTCACATGACTCTGGATAGATTACAACCACATATATATATATATATCCACCACACTTTTTTTCTCTTTTTGTTTCTTAATTGTCTTTTGAGATAATCTTGCACAGCCTCGACTTGTCTCAAAGTAACTACATGTTTGAGGATGGTCTTAATCTCCTAATCCTCCTGTCTCTACCTCCCAAGTGTTGGAATTACAGGTACACTACCATGCTTGGCTTGAACAAATGTCCTTTTCTGGTGAGGGAGATGCTGGGGCTGGAACCCCATGCCTTTAGCATGTACTCTAATATTGAGCTATACACCAAGTCTTTGAACAGACTAAATAAGATAGGGACATTGGGCTCACGACAGTAAGCTAAACAACACACACTGTGTTGTTCCCACAGACCAAGTCTTTAGATGCAGAATTTCATTACATTATCATATCTGGTTAGGCTCAGATTTTTCTTTGAAAGTAAAAATGATAACTCAGAAACTCATTTTTTAAAAAAATTTTGTGAAGATTTATTTATTATATTTTAGATGTACAAGTGTTCTGCATGCATGCATGTATGTGCACCATGTATGTTCCTGGTGCCTGCAGAGGTCAGAAGAAGGCACTGGATCTCCTGAAACTGGAATAACTGTCAGTTAGGAGCCACCATGTTCATGCTGAAAACAAAACACAGGTCTTCTGCAAGAGGAATGGGTGCTTTTAACCACTGAGGCATTCTCCAGACCCTGGAAGTTAATTTTCTGAGGCTGTTTATGTGTATGCTGAGATGTGTACTGGATTGGGGGTGAGGACGGAAAATCTATTCACGGGAAGAAGAGAATACAGTTGATGTGCAATAGGTGTCCAACATGAGTACATATGTAAACACACACACAGTACAATAGCATGCATGATTACAAAGTGTCCCTGAGAAAGCTGACCTTAGAGAAACTGAAGGAACTTTACACCCTCTTCACATGACCCCAGAGATCTTCAGTCCACACCCAGTGGCCTCTGAACACTCTAGCAGGATGACGGCAGCACCGACATAGCAGGAGAGAAGAACTTCCCACAGAAAAAAGGTATAAGGTAATGCAATGTATGCGATCCTGATGAGGGCAGACAGAAGGTTAGTCATTCTGGGGTGGGGTGAGGGGCTTACTGTCATTCACTGAAAAGCCCACTCAGGTCAGTGAGAGAAGGAGGGGAGATGAACTCCATTCCATGTCTCTGTTTCCCAGAAAGGGGAGAGTGGAAATGAGTGTGTACATTTTAAAATGATTGCTCAACGTGTTTTAAAATGACATGATTTCTCATTATGTACTCAAGGTTACAGGTCCCTGCACTCTCCTCACCCCCTGGTAAAAATTACTTTTAGGCATGGCCACTTTGGCTTACATGATGAACAGGTCTTTAATATCCTACCTTCCTAAAGACTCAGAGAATCCAAACCCTGTGTTATTGCTGCATCACAAAACTTGAAATTTCCAACAAAGGAAGTACTCATGTTGGGTTGAGGATGACAATAAAAACCAAATAAAACAATAATCGATGACAACAGCAAAAACCCCATCACCACCATGCTCATGTACCCCTGGGATAGGGAATTTTTCCAACATTCAAATTCAAATTGTTGAGTTATCAAAGAGTGATTAAAGAAATGCTAGCTATTTTAATCTTTTCGCACCAAGAAAGGAAATAGCAAGTCCTATGAAAGATGACACAGGGCTAAGGAGAGAGGCTCTGTACACAAGCAAAGGGAAAATAAGGGACAAGCATTTCAGAGGAACGGGAAGTCTTGGGAGGCAAGGTGCCTTGGGAAGACACAGTTTTGGACTTTCATTGTTGTGTCCAGCTCCAGCTTTACCTGACAAGACAATGGTTCTCATTGGGACATGCTGGCTCTCTAGCAAGTATTACCTAAGAGAGCTGTGTGGAAAAGACAGCATGCAAGAGAACTCAGACAAAGATCTAGGAGAAACCAGGACCAATGGATCATTTTGTCTATAAAAGTCAGATTCCCAATGGAGAAAATAAGAGAATAAAACTTTTTACAAGAAAGAATGAAAGGAAGCGAAAGCCTGGGAGGACAAGTTCACTGAAGATTGGAAATGAGCTCCAACACAACCTTGGACACTGCCTTAGTCAGTGTTCTAGTTCTGGGAAGAGACACCATGACCACAGCATTTCTAATAAAGGAAAACAGTTAGGGAGGCTTGCTGACAGTTTTAAAGGTTGAGTTTACTGTCATCATTGCAGGGAGTACGGTGGCCCACAGGCAGACACGGTGCTACAGGAGTTGAGAGTTCTACATCCAGACCCACGAGCAGACATGATGCTACAGGAGCTGAGATTTCTATATCCAGACCCACAGGAAGCAGGAAGAGAAGGAAACTGGTCCTGGCTTGGGCCTTTGAAACCATCCCCAGTGACACACCTCCTCCAGCAAGGCCACAATTACCCAAACAAAGCCACACCTCCTAATCCCTTTCAAGCAGTGCCACTCCCTGATGACTAAGCATTCAGGTATATGAGCCTGAAGGGGTTATTATTCAGACACCAAACAGGAGAAAAAGCTGTTGAGAAATTGATAGTCTATGGTAATTAAGTAGCTGGTTATAATAGCCTCTTCTAGAGAAATGCAAAAAAGAAAATTCAACTTGTGCTTCCTTTTAGTTAAACTTGAGTTTGGAGTTAAATAACCTCTTCTAGCTTTCCTACCTATAAAACAGAAATGACGCCAGTTGCTTCACAATGCTGTTGCACATCTTAGCAGAGTGTGCACACACATGCACAGACAGTATATTTAACACAGCATCAGACTTAATGTGGTTTTTAGATGGTAATTATTGTTTTGTATAAAACAAGCACTCCTTTTTGTTCTATAGTTTAACCTAGAAGTGTGTTGTTAAATATTTTCCTAACACACTGTCAAGATTTTCTCTTGTGTGGGATTCTGTATCAAAGCTTACCGTATTAAGTCCCAAATTACTTTACTAAACTCATTCCAGAGTAGTAAAGAACTTTCACCTTTCAGGTGGTGTCCAGGTGGCAAGACCTGGTGCAGACAGTTTCACTCACATATAACCCTATCAAGCATGATTTTCTGCAATTAATGTTTCATTAAGGGGTGTCGGGGCTAATCTTGGTTATCAACTTGACATACTTGGAAAGTAGGATCCTCACAATTGGGGAATTGCCTCCATCAGATTGGCCTGTGACATGCCTGGACAGCACCTGTGCTATGTAAGAAAACAGGTTGAGCGTGAGCCAGGTGGAGCAAGTCCATCCGCTGTGCTCCCCTGTGCTCTCCATTTCAGTTCCTACAACCAGGTTGTCACCTTGAGTTCCTACCTGGCTGTCCCTGGTGATAGACTATAAGGTGTAAGCCAAAATAAATTCTTAAACCCTTTCCTCCCCAAGTTACTTCAGTCACGGCGTTGATCAAAGTAAGAGAAGCAAACTCAGACAATGGTACTAACGCAGCACTAAAGACTCTCCAGAGAGGCTAGGAAAGCTTCTCAGAAACTGCCAAGCAGATGCATAAAGACATAAATCCCAGAGCCTGTCAAAAATGGACTTAGTGATTAGAATCCACAGGGCCAAACATGGTGATACACACTTTTAATCCCATTACTCTGGAGGCAGAGGCAGTCAGATCACTGTGAGTTCAAGGCCATCTTGTCTACACAGTGAGTTCTGGGTCAGTCAGGAATACACAGTGAGACCTTCTTTCAAATAGAAAAAAATCTATCATTGACAGCCAGTTTTCACAACAAAGAATGTCATGAACTTCCCTTCAGCCAGCAAAGCCGCTAATCACTCTTCTCAACATCGTTACAAAACATAGTGACAATGTGTAACACCATATTAAAAAACAATTCCATCTCCTTTTGTTGCCTAGCATGATTCCTTTCTTGGCCTAAGCAAACAGACTGTGTTCCCATTTGTGTGGCAAGTCGCCACTGTCCCTAGGTAAAGCCACACTGGATGCAAAGCCCAGAAGCTATGAGCCCAGCATGAAGGCTGTACAGGCTGTGCAGGCTTCCCCCAGAAGCGCCTGTGATATCGCTGGAGGCCACGACAGGTTCAGTCAAGCCACTCTGCCAGTACCTTGCATTGTGCCACTGACAACAATAAGAAGCTATTCCCAAACCGCCTCCTTCTTGTAATTTAGTCTCATTATTTTTCCTATCATGTAGGGCAATTGTCTTACCGCAGATGTTAGCCGAGCAAGAATTTCATCACTGCTTTCTTCTGAGTCTTCCACTTTCTGATGAGACCTTTGAAAAACAAACAACAAATTAATCCATAGGGCTGGCTGCTCAAACTTATCTACCAAATTATGGGAAATAAAGGGCAAAAATAATTGACATTGTCATTACGTCATGAGTGAAAGTATGTAAATAACACTGTGTTGACAGAGCCAAGGATACACAGTCCTGTACCAACCAATTGCTCTTTAGAATCAATTATCCAGTTCCTCTTCATACCGCACTAGCTGAGCTCGGGGTGCTGCTCCCCAGACAGCACCATAGGATAACCATAACATACGTGATTACAGATACAGTCATGAACAAAAGTAGATGTGAACATAAGGTGGGTAAGTGCTGAGTTTCCCTGGAATCTAAATCAAACTGTGAAGCTATGAAATGTGAATTTTCCAGTACATTTGAGTTTCATACCAAGCAAATTAACTATGAAATAGTGCATTTAAGGCTTAATCCTATGGTGAAAATTAGAAAATGAAACAAAAAATACAGAAGTACTTTGCTTTCAGAAAAATCACAGCCCAGGTGAAAAGAAAAAAAAGTTATGCAAATATCAAGTAATTAATGAGACACAGCAGTACAAGATTATTTAGTTTAGGAAAAAAATCATCTTTATTATTTACACAAATGTGTCTCTGTTATGCCCACATTATGAGTCCCTCAAAGACCACCAGGAATCCAAATTTGTATGCAAAAACAAAGAGCCTTTATTGCAAGCCTAAACTTGGGCTCTCCGTCGTCCCGACACAGCAGCTGGATCAGGGAGAGCACTGAGCTCAGCTATGGCAGGGTTTGGAGGAGTAAAGGATGCAGGGATAGGGAATTCAGGATTCAGATGGGGCTTGAACTCCTGATTGGGCAGGAGTGAGGCAACAGAAGTCTTGTCAAACAGGGATTGGGACTGGCGTTGCTATAAGGAAATTGATAACCTATATACAAGTTAGGTAAGCTATTCCTAATCTTTGGGAGCATCTAGTACTTGCCTGTCTCCATTCTTATTGGTCCTCTGAAGGGTACAGTGTGTGGCTTTTCCTGGCCATTGTAATGGTGAGGCCTAGTCTCAGTATTGCTAGTTTGCAGCCTGTCATGGCTGCATTGATGTTAAGATATGCCTCTTCATTTCTACTTAAAAAAAATCTTATAAATTATACTTCTTCCTGGTTTGGTCAAAGGAAACAATGAATTAATACCAAGTGAATACATAAAACTGTATCTTAGAACTATTTCCATAAGCAACCCCTTCCGGCACTCTCTGTGATGGGAGATTCATGGTAATTGACCTGCTGAGCTAAGTATCAGAAATGCAGGGCAGTGATTGATCCGCTCTCAGGAGCTGGGGAGCCAGCTGGAGAACCCTAAGAACAGGAGGTCCAGGAGGCCCCATTCCAGTTCTCCACAGAAGGGAGCAGCGAATTTGTAAGAAGGGTCAATCCAGTTGATCAATTCTGGCATTTGGTTTCTTGATCCTGGTAAATGTTATTAGACCGCTTTTCAGAAACAAAGTCATGATCCTAAAATCTCAGGAAGGAATACAAGCCCCTGCCTTTCTAAGAGCAGGGAGATGCAGGTATGAAGTCCAGCCCGGCTGGCCCATGCCCTAACTGCCACTGTTTGAACAGCTAGCTAAAGATCTGCAGAGGAAACTGGGCATCTTTACCTTTGCATGCCTTCAAAGTCACCTGTGAGTATTTCAAACAACAATCCTTATTATTAAAATTCTCATTTCCTTGGAAAGGAGGCGATGCTGGATGAGAAGATGTGAAACTACAGAACTCCAGCCACTGAGCCTGATTTATATGATTTGGCTTGGCGACCGAACAGAGCTGACAGGGAGTTAAGGACCAAGTATACCAGCCAGCACAGCACTGAATGAGGTGCTGCATCTGCCCACCATCTGCGGTACAAGTGGCTTTTCAGGCCTGTCGGACCCAAACTGATAAAAGACTACACATCCAAGCTTCTCTTGCATCCAGGACAAGCAGTTCAGGGAAAAGGGGGACTAGGGTGGAAAAGTTATTTCCGCCTCGATAAGGGGCCATATCACATATTCTGTAGGTACTTTGTCCCTCTGCACAAATAAGTTCCTCCTCACGGTGAATACATATAGTCCCCAAAAGGTCAGACCGTGCTTCCTCTACCCCCACTCTCTCTCCACCTTCTGTCTCTCTACAGCTTGCCTTAAATAATTTAACAAAAACACCACCCGAAAGTTGAGTTAGCGGGCATGAGATAGTGTGCGCTAACACAGACTCAGCTGTGAATCTGTCTTCAAAAGGCTGCTGAGAGGAGCTGCAATTCCAAGGAAGCTCATGTGTCTACGACTCGGGATGGTTCTTTCACGAGCAGTCGGTGTGCTATCGCTGCCTTCCTGAAACATAATTCCATCCCTGCTCAGAGGCAGAGCTGTCTTCATCATACTCCCAGCACAAGCAGTCCTTGGCAGAAACATTGCTGAAGATAATACATGAGACTGTGATGCTCTCTCTGGGAGTTGGCCGTAACCTGCAGCTTCCTGTTACCTCCTCAGTCACCGTAATCTTAGCAGATTCACACATTGAACCCTTAGACCTCTCTCTAGTTTCTGAATCCTGCTGACCATGCCTGGTTTCTCCACCTGCCTTCCACGTGGCTTCATCCACACACACATGGGAATCATAGCCCCCATGAATTAAATTAAGCTACATTGCTTCTCTCCTTCTCCCTCATGGTGTCCTGATACCCCACGGCCAGTCACCAATCATATCCTTCCACGTTCCTTTCTCCAGGTCTGCTTTCTGTGGCCCAGGCCTTCCAGTCCTCTCAGACTGTAACCATCTTTTAACCCACTTGATTAGCTCTGGTCTCTCTTGTTCTGTTCAATCTTCCACAGCCACCCAGACTCCCTTTCTAAACCCCAGATCTGGAAGCGCTGTTCCTAGGTGTCACCCAGTGTAGCCTTGTTGCCTACTGAGAATAGTGAAGTTCAGAAATACCTTTCCTTCCCTGCTCACGGGGTCCCCAACTCCCCATGTTGAAAGCTTTGTACATCTCATGGAGACTAAGGGAGCTCAGGGAAGCAGGGTTGCTGACCACCGGCAAACAGTGGGGGGCTGGAGTTAGAGACACAGTAGGGGACAGCGGCCCTCCTTCTGTTCTCACCTCCCCACTTGGTCCCTAACTCCCTGCCCAGCTCTTTAGGAAAATGTCAGAAGAATCACACTGCAAACAAGCTTCCACAAAATGTGAGTAAATTCTTATTTTACATATACAAACACGTAACAGTGCAGCGTAGGAAAGACCAAGTTTTCCCCGCCAGATTAAGTAGAAAATAAATCAGACAAGGCAGCAAGCATATGTACGGTCGGCATATTTTCCATTATCACTGGGACATACTATACTGCTAAGTGAACAAGAGAGGGAGAAAGAAGGGAAGCGAGAGAAGCTGTGTGGTTTGGCAGTCAGAGGCTGGAAACAGAGACCCTGGCTGGAATGCACCTGTAAGGGACAGGGAGGTGGCTCTGGGAAGAGAGGTTTTGCTGCATACTTGTGGCTGATTGTAGGAAGCTCTGGACCAGTTAGGAATTCTGGGGCTGATGCCCAAGGACTCTGCTTTTCAATGAAAGCCAGACCCAGTAGTTTTCCAAAAGAATGCACTGGGCCCTGGTGCAAGACTGGTCTTTAAAAGCCTGTGAAACCTAGTATCTCAGAGTTCTATTGTGTGGATATGGGGATGGCAAAGTCTATGTTCCTTGGCCCTGGACCCTCTAGCCATTAAGCTGGAAACATATCACATCATATATCATGTCGTATCATATTCTACCAAAAGTACCCGCAGTCCCGGTGGGGGCGAGGGTGGGAAGAAAGAAAGACAGAAAGAAAGAAAACCACAGAAAGTTTTGGCCTCTTCCCACAGTGCTCCCAGTCTTAACTGGTGGCAATGGCAACACTGTGCCCCAGTTAGACATCATCCTTGACCCTGCCCATTTCCCTACTTCTGTTTCCCCACGCACACTGAGGCACACTGTGCCAGCGATATCCACCCTGCAATACCTCTGGTCCTTCCTTCAGGGCGTTCTTCCCACTTATCACCATGTTTAACTTATCACCATGTTTATCACTGCAGCTGTAGTCCCAGCCCTGACCCCAGAATGGCCCCGTCTTCTACCCAGACCTAGAGCCAGGGAACCTCAGCTGAGGGATTTTCACAGGTCAAACCAACCATGTCAAGCCTCACTATCTCTTTTCGGGGCATAAAAACCATTTCACAGAGAGCAGGATATTTGTGTCCTCAAACCAGGCGTCAGGCTTGTACGGCCCCCTTCTTCTGCTGCTGCAGACGTCCTTTTTTAAATGATAAAATCCCCTTTATTTTTTTCTTCCTAAAAATACATTTGTACAGAACAGATTTGTGTTTATAGAGGACATTAAGTGGTTTTCTGGCATCATTTTAAAGTCGTTTAGAGAGGATGGGAAATTGGGGGGGGGCTAATGTGGAATTGCGTAGGTAGACCTTAATAGCTCTCAAATATCAAAAAGGTTATTAAAAGCACCACAGGATAGGGGCTTTAGTTCATAAATGGAAAACACAGGAATCAAAAGGACTTCAGAGGGCATTTTGGTTAGAAGGAATAAAAGTAAGACAGCACAAGGCTAAGAATAACATAGAAGAATGGATTTTCCTGTGAAAATTACCAAGAATAAGAACAGTGGTTGATGGAACACAAGTCCAAGACAGTTCGTAGGCAAAGTAGGCCTTGGGCTCCCCCTTGAGGGCTGGGCAGAACTTAACAGGCAAAGAAAGCAGAGCAGAGAGCAGGAGATGACCAGTGTTGGCAAAGACCTAAACAATGGAGATTTGTAGGTGAAAGCCAGAGTTATGACGAAAATATGTGCAGGAGCCAGGGGAGGTGCTGTGGCAATTCAGCTGAAAGATGACAACATCACCAGCCATCTTTTCTCTGACGGTGCTCTAGGTCAAAGTCTGCTTTCAGAAATCTAAGAACAAGAAGGATATATCTTCTCTATCCTGAATAGAATTGTGGTATTGACATTCTTTTTTTAAAATTTTTTTTATTGTTTTTATTGAGCTATATATTTTTCTCCACTACCCTCCCTTCTCTTCCCTTCCCTTCTCCCCTCTTTCATGGTCCCCACACTCCCAATTTAATCAGGAGATCTTGTTTTTTCTACTTCCCATGTAGATTAGATCCATGTATGTCTCTCTTAGGGTCCTCTTTGTTGTCTAGGTCCTCTGAGATTGTGAATTGTAGCCTGATTTTTTCTTTATTTCTATGAGCCATTTATGAGTGAATACATATGATATTTGTCTTTCTGGGCCTGGGTTACCTCACTCAAAATTATGTTTTCTAGAGCCATACATTTGACCAAAAATTTCAAGATGTCATTATTTTTTCTGCTGTATAGTACTCCATTGTATAAATACACCACGTTTCCCTTATCCATTCTTCAGTAGAGGTGTGTTTAGGTTGTTTCCAGGTTCTGGCTATGACAAACAAAGCTGCTATGAACATAGCTGAGCAAATGTCCTTGTGGAACGATTGAGCATCCTTTGGGTATACACCCAAAAGTGGCATTGCTGGGTCTTGAGGTAGGTTGTTTCCTAATTTTCTGAGAAATCACCATACTGATATCCAAAGCAGATGTACCAGTTTGCATTCCCACCAGCCATGGAGGAGTGCTCCCTTTACCCCACAACCTCTCCAGCATAAGTTGTCATCAGTGTTTTTGATCTTGGCCATTCTTACAGAGTTGTTTTGATTTACATTTCTGTGATGACTAAGGATGTTGAACATTTCCTTAAGTGTCTTTCAGCCATTTTAGATTCCTCTGTTGAGAGTTCTCTGTTTAGATCTGTACCCCATTTTTTTTAATTGGGTTATTTGTTCTTTTGATGATCAATTTCTCGAGTTCTTTGTATATTTTGGAGATCAGGAATCTGTCTGATGTGGGGTTGGTGAAGATTTTTTTCCCCACATTCTGTAGGCTGCCGTTTTGTCTTGAATAACTTTATTCTTTTATGCTTGGCACATTTATTTATTATTGTTTCTCGAGGCAAGGTTTCTCTGTAACTTTGGAGCCTGTCCTGGAACTCGCTCTGTAGATCAGGCTAGCCTCAAGCTCACAGAGATCCACCTGTCTCTGCCTCTCAAGTACTGGGATTAAAAGCATGTGTCACCACCGCTGGGCTATACTTGGTACTTATAATAAGAATAAGCAGGTCCTTAGCTTTCAAGTAGCCATTCATACCATTAGTAACTGTGATCAAATGCTCATGTTCACATCAAATGAAGAAAACTTGCTGGTGAACATGGCATTCTACAGTTGGTTCTAACCCTGAGACCTGACTGCATCCGTAGTAATCAGTGTGCCAAAAGAATTGTTTGGATTTTTTTTTCTTTTTCATTGTTTTTAATGAACTATACATTTTTCTCTGCTCCCCTAAAAGATTGTAAACAATCTGGAATTGATATTAGGGCTTGAATTTTTAAAATAACTGTCACTATATAATAATAATAACTGAAATTAGAGCAGGTTCAGGATTTACACATCATGAGGCTTTTTCACCCTCTGGAATTCCAACTTGCTATCTATGACAATTGGAATGTTCACTGCCCTCCTGCCCCCAGTCTACGTGTACCCAGGGATTGCCACAGCTGCACCATGTGCACAAGACATGAAATGGTAGAAGGCTACCACAGAGCAGCGGTACTTCTCTCAGAGTTACGTGAGGCCTGTCATCATGACCATGTCATGAAAAAGCATGTCACTTTTCAGAGAGCTCCTTGAAGCTTACTGACGTGTGCCTGAGCCTCTTTTAGATGTGTCCAGTTTCCACGAAGAGCATATTACAATAAAGGATATTCCATAACATGCTAATTCAGTGACATTGGAATCTATACTACGGTTTCCAGGTCCTCTCTCAACAGTGGTGCTGACAAACCCCAAATCACTCCACAGCTCAGGCTAACACTCCCATAACTTGTGCTTACAGTTCTCAGAAGGGATGCAAGGATTACTCCATAACGTTGAGAACACATCACAGCAGGTGCCCAAAGCTGAGGTGATAAAGCTAGGCAGAAGTGAATTCAAACGCTCAAACTAGACTTGCCGTCTGTGTAACCTGGGACAGATTACTTGGACTCTGTGCCTTAGTTCCCTCACATATAAATGGAAATTAACAGTACTTGTCTTAAGGAATCCTTCTGAAGTGAAACAGGACATAAGGTATTTGCTTAGTACAGTACCTGACATGAAATATATTCCTGACACCCAATTTTTCTATTCGAAATGTATTGTTAATATAAGATTTCTCTTTGCTAAATGTCTGAATTAACTGCTCGGTAGTATAATTTTTTAGCTAATAAGAGTTATATTTGTTTTAAGGAATGCATCTCTTGAAAGCTATATTCTCACCTGAGAAGTAAGGGCAATTCTAGTTGCCTTACGAATACCAAAAAGCAAGAAGAGTCAGTGCCCTGATGCCTGAAGAGTTGCACATCTGTGAGTGATTCAACCGGCATTTCAACCTGCAGCTCCTTTCTGAAATAAGTTTGCCACTATTGCCAAGGATAAACAAGGCATGTCATAACCCCCATATCACGACTCAAGGAAGCTGCTTCTAATTATTTTAACCATACAGTGACTCACTACCTTCATGTGATGATTCACATGCTTTAATTTGCCAAATGCTGCTTCTAGATTATTTTCAGAAATTTCTGTTGAGCCCCTTCTTAGCACAGTCACGATGTGGATGGTGGATAAGATGTGAGTTAACATTTCACTCAACTTTAGCCCAATCATGTGTTCATACCTAATTTAGACCATTCACTCATTTAGTAGTGAGTTAGAAGCATCATGGCTCAGCTGGCGAAGCATGCCAAGGATCAGAATAGCAATGGAGCCATGTCTAGCATGAATCTGCAACAATGTTTCTTACCTTTGTGAACTTGGTAACAGTATTCCTACCACTCAGACAAGACAGAGGCCTGAAGAAGCAGAGCACAGTTTACACTGGTACCCAACAGCAGGTACTCACAGGTCACAGGTGCCAGCTCTAGCAGGGAGGAGATGCACAAGCTGCAGCAGAAGCTTCACTCCGTTTTGCCATTCTTCTTCCCTTTCAAATTCACAGTACAAGTAGCTACATTCCTCCGAAGAAAATTGGTAGAAAACATAGTTATCTTGAAAGTACAGATGTTGGTCCACTGTTTGAAGCAAACAAACAAAAATGTTATGTTTTAGAGTCATAAATCAAATCAAATAATAAAGTCCAATGATTAGTGAGAAGCCAAAGGTAACATTCATTCACGCTTGCACTCTCGATAACCTGAAAGGACACATCGATTAATTTCACTGCTTGAACTTTGACCAATATATCCACATATATTTTCTAAGATTTCTGCTTCACAGACAAGTGCTGGTCAAACTGATATCAATTCAAAGAGGGTGGCAAGAAATGCTACACAAACATGGCATGATAGCAAGTTCCAGTTAGGGAAATAGTGGCTCTAAGTAGACATGAGTGTGCATCACTGCTTCAGGAGACACTTGGTGATGCCTAGAGACATTTTTGGTAGTCATAATGAAAGGATGTGCTCCTGGCATCTACAAGAAAAAAGAAATGGGTGATGCCAAGAGCCCGACATGCACAGCACAGTCCTCCACAGCGAACAACTCTCTAACTTAGAACGTCAATACCATCAATGCTGGGGAATCTGAAGTTAGAGGTTTGTCCCAAAAGGCATTTACACAAAATGTGTCACCAACCATAAGCCTGCTCCTCAAAAAGAGTTAACCTAAAAGTAGGTGCTAGGTGTTACTAAGAAGACTGAAACGATGCACCTATCTGTGTTGCTCTTTCCCAATGACACCAAGACTTGCCCTTCATATTTATCATCTACAGCAACAAGGGTTTTTCAGTACCAACTGGCAACTGAGAGATTGAAATAAATAAAGAACAAATGGCTTCTACTGCTTCAATTCCCTGGGTTCAACTAAGAAGAGAGAATGTCATCTAGTTTAGCTTCTACTTAAACATCATTTTCTGTCCCATTTGAAGAACTAATCTTCACAGCTCGCATATCTAAGTGTTTGTGATTACTTAATTAAAATAATGCACACACGCATGCATGCACACACACACACACTCATAAATCAATTTCTGATTACATATAGCATAATAAACCATTTTTTGAAGCAACAAAAGACATAACTGACAAAAGAAGTTTATGAGCAGAGTTGACAAGAGAGGAAAGCAATGCCTTTTGCAGGTTTATGTCTACAGTCAACAAGTACCTAAGAATTTTCACAGAAGATGTGGCAAAAATAAATCGATCAAAAATGATGTGTCATTTTTACTTAGAAAATAAGAATGTAAACATTTAACTTCAAAACCAATTTCCATCCAGATTACAATGTGTTTTGGTTTAGCAGTTTAACAAAGCAACAATTGTGTCTTTAGCGTATGAACACTCACCTGAAGACATAATTCCCATATCCAGCAGGAGCTGCCAGACCCCAATGGCCATAGATCTACACTGGACGAAAGGGCAGTGTTCTAGAAGCCAGTCGACCAGCTCTGACCCCACACAGCTTCTCCTGGACCAAAACAAAGTCAGAAGCAATGAGAAGCTCACAGCACACAGTAAAACCTTGAAACATACTTTATTGAACAAATGAAGAAATAAAATTAGCGCCTCTTTATGTAAAGGTTAGGACTTCAGATTGGTGATGAGAAACTTTCACTCAGACATTTCGGGACTTTTTGCCTGCTCCCTTTGGTAACAAAAGGATTCCATAAAGGTTCAACAAAACTGGACCACAGACTGCAGCCTAGAGTTTGTTCACTATTCTTTAAAGATTGGACCCTTAAACTCATTTCAAAGAACAAAAAACTTGACTGTTAACCAATTTAATGTAAGCAAAGCAATTCCATTAAGGGGCCTAGATCATAAGCCCAGGAAGCCAAATGTGTGTGCTGGATTTCACTAACCACACACAGTCATCTCTGTAATTAGATTTGAAACACACACCAAGTCCCACAGTCTATTACAAGCAGTATCATCAAGTCAACTTTTCCATTTGTGTGGGCCTCAGGGGGAAAAAAAGAAAAAGAAAACTTTTTGAAATACAGGTTTTCATTTGCAGAGGAGTCTAATTTATACTTTTTCTCCAGCAAAAAGGCCGCTAGAGTGCTGTAAGAAAGAGAGAGCAGGAGAAGGAGGGAGGGAGGGAATGCCTCATACACTGTGGACCCTTATTCTGCAGACACTGTGGAGGGGTGAGACTGTAGTGTTCTATTTCTAAACCAGAGAAATGTGTTGGCTCACTCTTGTGACTGACACAGTACGAGCCATCCATAGCAGGACTTGCTATGAAGGGCTGCACTTCCGCCGAGCCACTGGATTCAGTGATCCAGCTTTTGTTAAAGCATGCTGATTTCTGGTCCAGTGTCATTACTTGAAAGACGCTCCAAGGCAAAGAAGACAATTCCAGACATGCTCAGTGGCAGGTCACCATTAAAACGATGGAAAGATAAGAATTCAGATACGTGGAGTCTTTTAAATGAGGACACAGGTGGCAAGAAAACAGGCAATTAGACCAAACAGTCAATATTAACAGTAACTCTACAGGAAGGAATCGAAGTGTTAATTAACTAATTTCTCAATGCTTCTTTCAATTAGCCAGCGTCTTTTTGCCTTTGAAGCACTTTCGTTCATGGGCTAAATACTATGTTATCTTTTTATTTCACATTTTCAAAACACCGAGGCTCATCCACCTTCTCTGAGTGTCTGCTTGGAACGCAGAAGCCCACAATACAGCATTTGCTCAACAAACGAAACCTCCACGTTGTACCAGGCGGCTAGACGGTAGCTGTGTCTATGTGAGCACAGGTGCCCACGAGGAGGTTTCCTGGGCCAGGCCTTCCGACAGCACGGCTCAGCAGTTCCAGTAAGGACAGGCAAAGGTGCTGTCAACTGTGGATTTTGATCCATCCAAGCTGCATGGAAACCATGGAAACCGATATACCCACTCCTATCAGACCCCTTCCGTGCTGCTAGTGACCAAAGCCCAGATCCCTTAGCTTCCCTTTTTCATTGTGAAGGGTTCACCCTCTTTGAGGCATAGACTTGACACGAATATGCTAAAACACAGAATTGCCATGACAACCTTAATGGACAACTGGGTACCACTCCCCAACAAGCTACCATTTTAATTCCATGTGGTCCCTTTCTGCCCCTCCCTAAATCTCACCATTATGTTTTAAATTTCTCCTACCATCCATCTGGTCATGAAAAATGTTAGAGACAAGGAGAAACTCTGCCCTTAATATCTTTAATCCATAGTCTTCTGGCTTGTTGACCAGGTCTACAACAATCCAGTTCAAAGCCTCAGTCTCCAGGGCAGAAGGGGGCAGAGGGGAGCAGAGCAGCTGAAACCGCTGGAGCAGAGCGGTCTGAATGCTGCAGCGGCTCTTAGCCACCGTGCACTTTCAGCCTGGCACTCCATCTGCCATACTAGGTAGTGGAACTGCCACTTGGGGGTGATGTGCTACAGAACCACGTGACCCTGCGTATAGCTGAATTTTACCCATTTCTGGAGGGGAAAATTTGTTTTCCTTGACCTCTTCCTTTCTTCCATTATGGGTTGCAATCAGTCTGTGGTAACACAGATACTAAACTTTAAAGCATAAATAAGGTGGTGGTATTTAGTGGTTCATCTACATAAAAGGAAATAAGGGCTCAGAAACAAATATGCTTTTTCTATAGCACAAACTGCATAGAATCTTTCCAAAGCTTTCACTGTGGATTCTCATATGGCATATGGGAACACATGACCTCAACTGATGATCAGACACATGTAAATAACCCATTCCAGGCAGCCATATTAGTATTTTATCTTTAATCCTAGACCATTAATCAGTCCTTAGACTATAACAGAAAAGTAGCTCTTTTCCCATTACAACAAAACACATACTTCCTCCCCACTGGGCTCCTGTAAAATCCTAATATGTTATAAATTGAATGTTCATTTATCCATAGACCTGATTAGGGTACATCTCCATTTTTATCAATGCCCACAGAGATCACAAACAAATTAAAAAAACACAAAAATCCTTAAAAACATAGATATTAGCAAAGTCTTTTGTAAATGACATGAACTATTTGAGCCTGCTTACAGTTAGACATGAAGACTTACAAATGCAAAGCTAGCTTTGAAGAGTCTGATGTGACTATACATAATGTCATTTACTTTTGCTTTTAATTTTAATTTGAGTGTGGTTGGATGTGGAGGCTTGAATGGGAACTGTCCCCTGTAGGTTCACATATTTGAACATTGTGGGGCAGGTGGGGCGTGCTGTTTGGAAAGCAAAGGAAATGTTAGAAGGTGAAGCCTTGCTGGAGGAAAAACACTGCTTAGAGTAGGCTTTGGGAGTCCACAGTCCAGCCTCACTTTCAGTTCATTCTCTCTGCTTAATGCCTGTGGTTGAAGATGTGATCTCTCAGCTTCCTGCCTCACTTGGCTGCTGCTCCCCAGCCCGTCCTCTGGACACCACGGACGCTCTGCTGCTCCCCAGCCCGTCCTCTGGCCACCACGGACGCTCTGCTGCTCCCCAGCCCGTCCTCTGGCCACCACGGACTCTTCCCTCTTTTTTAAGCTGGCCGTTGCGCCATGAGACTGAACGCACGGCAGCTGTGCTTACATAACTCACGCTCTCCACAAGACTGGGCTTCTCACGACTCTGTCAGAGAAAGGGGGAGGTTGACGGGGCCCCACACCTTCCTGGGGACGTATAATCTGCTAAGAGCTGCTAAGGAGAGGAGAGTCATTCCCTTCAGTGTTGTGAGGCACTCACACTCATGGAAACAATCCTCCAGAAAAGACATGACAGTAGAGAAGAGGCTAGTGAGAAACAGGAAGGGACAAGAGTGCAAGCTGGGACAGGACAGCAGCAAGAGGTGAATATGAGTGAAATTTATTATGTACAAGTATGAATTCATTATTATGCATAATTGATATATTCTAATAAAACATTAGGCCTTTTATATGCAGAAACTAGTTACTGTTAGGAGGGAATGAGGAAACTTTCTAGAATGTAAGTATCCTTTGTATCTTAATAATGGTTACACAGATCATGATTGCATAGGTGTATAGCAAATAAAAATTTATTAAGCTATATACTTAAGATCTGTGCGTTTTCTGTGTACAATTGTACCTCACATAGGAGTCTTTTTACTCCAAATACTTGAGATTCACTATGCCCAGGATTTGGGTCATGGGAAAATGTTTCCAATGGAACCGCTTGTTTCCTGCGGCCCATGAAAACAACAGGGATAGTAAAATCATTTTTTTATAAGTTAACTTTCTATAACTTAAAGAACATCCTTTGTTGTGAGAATATGTCCTCCTTCTTGTAACACCTGTACCTTCTTGTAATAGGTACTGAGCTATTCTGTTTATTTCAATGTCATCTCTTTAAGAAAAGTGACAATAGGTTATAGTTTTTGCTTTTGGTTTTATTTTTATAATTTTCTTTTGGTATTGTTAAGTATTTGTTCATCTTCATGTAGCAAAATAAAAAGGTAATAGTATATTCTTTTACTATTCCACAAGAGTGAAACTCATTTCCAAATTCTCCACCTAACGACACTGCTGGTCCAGCCGACTATTAAGACTAGCCACGAACCTATCCAGCCCCTACTGTTTACAGTGCTATCCCTATTCACTGGCCTAGGAAGACAAATTGCTCTTCCCACTGCACACTGCAGAGTGGAGCGTCACTCATTCTCAGCTGGAGGATTTCAACAGCTCTCCCTCTCTCTGCCTATCAGCCTTCCCAGAGACTTGGCAGTGTTTCCCATGTGGAGCGACTTATGTTTCCTTGAAGTACTCAGTGTAGAGTCAAAAAAGAGACAATCCTTGTAGTTAGGAATTTTATATCCTTTCTGACCCGGACACCTAACCACAGCCATAAGCAAACACCCTTTGGTTGCACAGCAGCCGGAGTCCCTCCAACTGCTGACACCCAGACAGCCTGACACTCTATGCTCAGAGTTACAATTAGGCTGCTTGGTTTTCTCTCCTCAAGGGGAGCTTCTGACAAGGTGTTAAGAAATGGTGTTACCTGTAAAATCCCTTGAGGTTCACTCTGTCCTTTACCAGGTCAGCTGCTTGAAGGATAATAATATTTCTTAATGCTTTTCCTGCACAAGAAGAATTCTCTCCATAAATCTAAGCAGAAAAGAAAAATAATCTTGTAAATGTAGAACAATAATGTGACAGTCTGTGAGCTTCCAATGCATGCTGCATGTAAAAATTCACAACTAATTCCCTAAGCTTCGGATACATTTTAGCCTATGAAGCTATATAGGCCAATAATTACCTTATTTTATTTTAGCTGCTGGTCCATTTAAGCTATTAAACTATAATAGCTATTTTCCAAATGTAAAAGTCTTAACTATAGTCATAAGCAATGTTCTTTTAAAGGACGAAATTTTCAGAGTGAAATCTCCACATTGTGAACATGTTTCAGTCACTGCAGCACACTGGGGTCATCTGATCTGTATAGATTAATCACAAACAAATCGTTTAATCTACTGACTTGGCCATATTTATAATCCATGCACATAAAAGCCCTTGGAAGATACTTCCCCCTTAGCAAACAACCAAAAGCAGGACGCAATGCCGCGGTATGCTACTTTGCCCTGAAGCTCCACTCAACAGCAGAGTTCACAGCTGACTCCAAATGTTCTGATGTGATCTCAGTGCTTACAGCTATATCCTTCAGAAAGAGATATCATTGAACTTCTCTTCTTAATCTTCCCATTCCTCCCTCTAAGTCCCTGGTCCCTGGAGAGGAAGGGAGGTACCTCTTGGAGAGCTCTGGGCCCTATTTTCAAAACCACCTCCTCTCCTCTGTTGTACTTTCTTCTTTTTCAGAAGCCAAGGAAGCAAAGTGTTATGGGTTAACTTCATGAGGTAAATAAATGATCACAAAAATCAGTGTACACTGCTCTATGCTTACAGAGTTCCATTTGTTCCCCTTCTCGTGTTGTGACATTTATTTCTATATTAATTTTATGGGTACGGGTATTGTTTCCTGCATGTGTTTTTGTTTGTATGTGTGCTGTCCATGTGTGTGCCCGAGGCTTCTGAAAGTCAGAATGCATTAGATCTCCTGGAACTGGAGTTAGAGATGGTCATGAGCCACCATGTGGATGCTGGGAATCGAACCTGCGTTTTTTGGAAGAACAGCTGGTGCTCTTAATTGTTGAGCCATTTCTCCAGCGCTATTGGATTTTTGTCAGACTCCTTTGTCTGGCTGTGCTAGTTTTGAGCACAGGACCTGGTAAGGCAAGGTAAGTGTTCTATAACCTCAGGCCCTTAGTAACTATTTCTTACCTACAAATAGTTTATATTATCTCTTAAAGCAAATAAATTGATAATATATTGGCTATGACTTGCTAGAAAGTAAGTGTCCATACTTAATTCTCCCAATCTCATCACTTAAAATCAATCTGATGAGAAGAGGGTCAGAAATGATTCCCTGGGAGCATGTTTTAAAAATCAAATCTTGAACAAGATACATGGCAGAAAGTTACTGAGGCAGAGGCATGAGTCAGCTGATGGCGAAGCAGTCCTGACATCTACAAGGTTCACTCAGTGAGTCATCCGCGAGGCATTTAACGAGTTGCTGACAAGTACATGCTCCGCTCCAGGTGCATGACACAGGGAAGAGGAAGGGAGAAAAGGCCTCGCCTCAGTCCTCTGTGAGCACAGGGGGACAATGCCCTTAGAGGTAGCTCCACATACATCTCCTTACTAAAGATCTCTGTGCAATGTATTTGTAAACTCTTGTGTTTCTGTCAATACAAAAACTAAAGGATGCATGTGTCCTCTACCACCCTGATGGCTTTGTCTTATGTCGCGAGCATCCTGAATCACAGCAATGACCAGGGAATCTAAACGTCTTCACTGGTCTTCCCTGGCAGGGAGGATGGTGTGATGAGTTCATTATCCCTGCACAACTCCGGGAGGTCAGGTAGCTGCACCCCAAAGTTCTCCACTGGCAACTGTGACACACCACTATAAACACAGAGGAGAAAGAGAAAGCATTTTCATACCTGGGAAGAAGCATGTTCAAGGTATGGGTTGGAAATTCTTCTTGAAAGAGTCTATTTTAAAAGAAAAAGGAGAGGAGGGAAATTAGACTCAAACAGATACCTTGAATCAAAAAAAAAAATCTAAGCACATCCAAGTGTCAGGCCTAGTGTCTACTAAAAGATGATTTTAATAAACCTCAAGTCACAGGTCACACAGGATTGACTTCATATGCTCTCCTAAGGTCACCTAGTCACCTTCACTCCAGTCAGGCAGGACATTCCACTTGAACAGCTCCTGCCTCCAAGAGTGTAGCCTGCAGCAGTAAGGCAGAAAGCTGTGCCTACAGTCACCTCAAGTCACTCCAGCAGGGACAGGGATTTCATTGCTTTCTCCACCCCCATTCAGCCCTCTTTCACTTCTACCTCAGAAGCTGCTTCAGCCTCTCAGTAGGTCTTTCTGTCCTTCAGTTCTGCTCCCCCCACACACACCCATCCCCCTCCCATGCCAAACCACTCTTCAAACTTCAGCAGACACATCTCCCAAAGTCATCCTCCCTCTTAAAGTGAGTCACAGGTATCTGACAGGGGTCACCTCACGGGCCTCAGCCCCGCAGTCTGCCTCTTACACACTTCATGTGTTATCTCTCTTCAATCCCACAAGGACTTTCTCACTAAGATATAGGTGTCCCTGGGACTTGGAGAGGATACTGTAGATTATGTTCATAATATGTTTACATACATGAGACTGATGAAAATAAAGAGTCTGGAGGATCTAAGTGTCGGGACACTAGAGAGACAGATCACTCTCTAAAGTCCTTGCCTTGCAAGCATACGGACCTGAGTTTGATCCCCATAACCCATTTAAAGAAAGAAATGGGCATAGTGGCATACACTTGTGAGCCCAGAACTAAGATGGTGAAGACAGGAGGATTCTTGAGACTCACTGGCCAGCCAGCGTAGTGTACTTGGCAAGCTACAGACCAGTGAGGGACCACGTCTCAAAAATCAAAGTGGTTAACACCTAAGAATGATACCAAAAGCTGTCTTCTGGGCTCCACATACATGTGTCTGCACATGGGCACACAAAAGTATACCCACCCACAAACATATGCACACATGTATGTTAGAGCAAGCTCTAACTGCTCACATCCCTACCTAGTCATAGCATTTTCTGTTCAAATCCATTGTCTTCCATGATGGACCCACAGACCTTGGAGTCCAGGTTTCCACTCCTCCCACACAACTGCTAACCAACCTGACTCTGCTTAGCTTCTAAGACCAGGTAAGATCCTATGTGTTTAGTGGGATAAGGTCATTGACTGGATAGTTCTCTCTTCAGTGAAATTCCACCAATGGGAATGGGGGCTGATACTGTTCGGAGATCTTTGTTTGGTGTCATTTACCCTGCAAACTTGTGTACCCTGCATTGCGGTACATACAGGATCTGTGCCAGTACCCTATGGTGCTTCGATCACATGGCACCAAGCATACAATGTTACATAAAGAGGTTTGTCTTTCCATTCATTTATTTAGTTCTTTATATATCACATATCAACTAAGTGTTTGCTGAATGTTTGAATCGTAGGAGCTAATTTTCCCCTCCTAACAATCTAGCCAGCAGCTCAGTCACCCACAGATGCTGCAGCACAATGGAGACTCATTATCACGTCCCACTGCGGTTCAGGAAGAACAGAGAAACTAACATTTACTAAGCTCCCAACCCGTGTTTAAGGGCTCTTTACACCTGGGCTCTCAGATTTGATGCTTATGAGAGCCCAGTGTTTAGCCTGCCACCTCCACTCCGGAGAACAACGTGCTGCACTTACCAACACCCCCGCTAGCCATCATTTTGTGGGATGTGAACCTTCTACCAAATTTCAACCTAAAAAGAAAATGCCTGCTCTGAGTCTTTCCCACTCTCGATAGCTCCCACACAAATTATCCTTGGGTCAAACAAATGAAAGTATCGACTCTTTATCCAGAAAGGCTAATAAATGCTCTGCTAAAGATATGAAACTTGCTTAAAAGAAGAAATTTTTGTAAGTCAGCCTATTTTCGATGCCTACCATTCTGGTCTTGCCCATGCACACTCCCACCGAGCCCTCGGCAGACCTGGCATCGGAGCCCACACAGCGGCTTCAATCAGTGAATGATTTAAAGCTTATATAGACACCAGATTTCCCCATGGTAATGAGTTGTCATGACAAGTTATTTTTTATCCAGACCAAGGAGAATTTTGGAAAGAAACAATTGTGACAGAACAAAACTGACAATCTCCATGTATTCATCAAATTGTTTCAGTCAGTTCAAAAAACAAGTTCTTCACATGAGCTAGTCCAAGAAAAAGCCTTCCTCAAGGAAAGAAAACTGGGCAGGAATATTTTCACAAAGAAACAAACCGCTTGCCTTTCTCTCCACTGCCAGCTTAAACCAGGCAGCTCTCAGGGTGACAGTCACAGGATCCAGCTAAACAGAATCACCCTCCCCAGAGCCCTTTCTAAAGACAGGTAAGGAGAGTAGGCGAAGTGATGGGGCTCCTGGTGCTGGAGAGGTAAGGTGTTAGATAAGCTGCTCTTCCCTGGGGAATGACGTCTCTCACAGAACACAGTCCTATTGTCAGCACCTCCAGTGATGCCCAGGGGAACCATGTGTCACTAACACCAGGGACAGCAGCCCTCAGAGCAGGAAGCCACAGAGCTCTTTGTGGATCTCAGTGAAGTACTGACCCATTAAACTTCAAATAACTTTCTAACTGCTCTTGTAGAGACTACTTCCTGTTAGGGCTCCATGCTGACCGAAGTATCAAGTTACAAAGATAGGGTAAGAAGAACATGGGGTTCCCTCGTCACCTCAGGGTTAAGAGGTCCAGGAGAGACCTGCTTCTCTTCTTCTTTGAATGTGACCACCATACAGGTAAGTCCCAGAGGACCGCTCTCCAGCCTCTACAAGATCTGTCTGTAACCCATGGCTTAGGTCTCACTTCTTCACCCAGCACCTATGCTTCAACTCTTGAAGCTTCTGACGGTTCCCTTCTATTTATTTCACACTAATGAAGCACTTACTTTGTTCCTTGTGAGACATTGTGAAAGTTTCTAAAAACAAACACAAGAACAAAAACACTCC